ATTGGACCCAGTATTGATCCCTGGGGAACCCCTACGTTGACAGTTTTTTCTTCTGATTTTGTATCTTCCAGCATTACTATTTGTTTGCGATCTTTAAGATACGAAATGATCCAATTTAATGGTGTTCCTCGAACACCAATATGGTACAACTTTTGAAAAAGTAGATAGTGATCTACTGTATCGAATGCTTTACTTAGATCAAAAAATAGTGTGACAGAAAATCTTTTAGAGTTCAAGGAATCATAAACATGCGAGCATAGCTCTGCAATAGCAGTGTTCGTTGATTTCTTTCGCCGAAAGCCATGTTGATGGGAGCCTAGAAGATTTTGTGATTCAATAAAGTTTGTGAGTCTGATGTTGAATGCCATATCTATAGTTTTTGTAATTTGACTTTGTAAGCAGATGTTTCTATAGTTATTCATGTCGTCTCTTGACCCTTTGTGTTTATAAACGGGAATTGATTTAGAAATCTTCAAGTTATCAATGTAATCGCCAGATGAAAAGGACTTATTGATTATGTGGGCTAATGGTATACTTATAAATTCTTTTACAGAGCGAATTACTTTTCCGTTGATTCCATCAATACCAGCTGATGGTTTCTTAGTGGTTTTATTTATTATATCTTCGATCTCATACGGCGTTATTGGAGTTATAAATAGTGTGTACTTCTTTATGGGTGACATTGTTAATCTGCTATGGTCTGGTTTGATATTCGTTGAGTTGACGAAAAAGTCACTCAGCATATTGCATAACTTATTCTTGTCAGTTATTGTCTCGCTATTAACAACTAACTGATTTATAGTGTGTTTGTTAGTCATTCCTCTTTTTTCATTGATTATTTTCCAGCTTTCTTTTGTTATGTTCGAAGAATTTTCTAGTCTGGCGTTATTAAATGTATACCTTGCTTGTTTCACTTTCCATTCATAAATATTTTTCAACTGTATGTATCGTTCTTTAATGATGTGATTGGTTGTTGTTTTTGCAATACTTCCCATTTCACAAACCATTTTATGTAATTCCTTGACTTCATTGTTATACCATTTTTTGTTTGTTTTACGTTCTCTTATTCTTTTGAAGTTAAATGCCATATCAAAGTTATACAGGAGGGTACTATAAAATTCCTCGAACATAATATTTACATTTATGTCAGACGAGCTGAATACTCCTTGCCACTGTTCCTTACTGATCAGGTTTCTAAAGGTTACTAAATTAGAATCTGACATATCCCTCACCATATGATTTCCGTTTTTTGGTAAATTATCTATAGAAAGATTGAATTTACACAATTGAAATGTATGATCTGATATGTGATTACTTTGAACATATGTATTCTGACAATGGAGGTTAGAAAATATCAAATCAATACAAGTAGAGCTTTTACATGTGATTCGTGTAGCTTCTGTAATATAATTCTTCATTCCGAATTCTTCGAATACGTTTATCAACTATCTTTTACTCGTGGTGTCCATGAATATATTAATATTCATATCTCCACTCACTATGTAGTAATTGTCATTTGAATATATATCACACATCATTTCATACATTTTTTCAAGGAACATTTTTACATCACTATCAGGGGTTCTATAAACGTTTACAATATATAGTTTGGTGGACTTGTTCAAATTTATAAATGTTATTGAACATTCAAATTCTTTCTCCCTACTTTTGTTAAAATCTATGGACTTCGCAACTGAATGATACTTTTCTTTATAGTATATACAGGTGCCACCTCGCTGATACTCTCTGCGACAAAAACTGCTAATTAGTATAGAACCTGGCAATTCAAATATACCGATTTTCTGTGATTTCAGCCAGTGCTCTGAGAAACAGCAAATATGAACATCATTTTGATCAAGTATTATTTCAAGATCACTAGCTTTGTTTGATATTCCCTGAATATTTGCATGCATGAGTATAATATTTTCATTTGATTCACATGTATTACTAGTTAGTGAAGTTGAGTTGGTATTTCCATTGCTTCCATTCTTTCCTTTCATTTTGGCAATAATAATTTTGTTTCTCTCCTCGTATGGCCTAAAAAAGTGTTTGGTCCTTCCTGGTCTTCATTTAACTGGTGGGTTGGAGATGAATTGTCGAGAAAATGTTGACCAAGCTTGAAATTGAAGCGACTGTATTTCACCTTTTTTGGCCAAAAGCTGTTTTCATAAACTTTCTCTTTTAGGTGAGGTTCTACTCCGATCATAAAAGATTGGTTATCTTTCCGGGACATTCGGGTTTGTAACTTTTTCACAATTATGCTGGTGGAGTCAGTTCGAGTTTTAATAAATTGTTCTATGTTTACTTCATTAATTGTGTCTGGAATATTGGTTAGGAAAAGCCAGATTTTCTTCTCGCCATTATCTCTTCCGTAGAAATGATTATCTCCATTTCCACTACCTTCCATGACTCTCCTTCTACGTCTGGTTATTTTTGTGAAACCTTCATCTTCATCCATGTCAGTATTTCCTAGGTCAATGATATCATCTAGTTTTTGCTTGGTTTGGATTTCTAGAGTATTTGCAGAGATCTGATAATTTCAGATTCTCTCTGTATTTTGTTTAATTGCGGTACCGTCGTGCTGCCTCTTGAATCACCCTGTGTATTAGATTGACCTTCCGAGATTGGGTTCATTTCTTTCTTCCCACTAGGTATTTGTTCACTGTTAAAGTATTCATTTATATTTTTTGTTCGGGATTCCTTTTGGTTGTAGACATGAGTGTTTTTATTTCTCATCGTATCAATCTCCATGTCTGTATCGTTTTTTATATTCAGCTCTTTTTTAAGCTGTTCAACTTTTTCTTCAAGGAGTAATTTATTCTCTTGTAGCAATTTGATATTGTCTTCTAATAATTTATATCTAATATCTGTACCTTCTAGGAGCCTTTTGAGGTATTCATTTTCCATTTTCAATGTTTCCATCTTTATTTCTATGCTGGCATCGATGGTCGTGGTGTTCTTATCACAAGAGACCTTCAGATTTCCATATACGGGAGTATTTGTTATGGTTTCTTCTTCACCTAATGCTTTTTCACAGCAAACTACACGTGCAGCACAACTTGGTAGACTTTATCACATTCTGTACATTTTAAAATTTTTTTTGATGCAGTTTTCTTACAATAGCTGCAGAGATCTATACACGCGTCCGCACTCTCCGCCATCATTCGAATAAATGGACTTGCAGTTCTTTCTCGGAGACGGTGTTTTTGGCTTATTTTTCGGAACTATCGCACAACAAAAACCATCAACAGTGTCTATATATGAAGACCACAAGGGAAAAAGGGAAAATGTCACAATATAGTGGAAATTGACTTGATACCGCCATCTGATAGCCTAACCACTATATTTTAGTATAAACAGAGCCTAGTATGCTCGTTCGAAAATACGTTCACATGGAAAAAACGCGGAATGTCTACTTCAGAAATGTGAAGAAAGGGGAATGTCCATCGAGCTTAGTGCCTGCCTGAATACAGATTCCATTGTGATTCTGATAGATTTTTTTCACACTGTCAAAAGGTGTGTTGACTGGGCTTGTCGAGTACGTCTGAGGGCCGGTTTATCAATTACAATTTATCTGTCAGTTAAAGCTTAACTACCAGTTTTTTTGGAAAGGTCGGTTTATCTACACCAGGGTAACTTTATCCGGCAGTTAAAATGTCAAATATTTATCTGTAAGTTTTAACTGGCGGATAGTCGATATCTGTAGGTTAATGCCTATACATAACCCCACTTTATTGAGTTGTTTTGATTTCCTAGCTTTCTGGTGTGACAAAAAAGTTAAAAATGGAGAGTACTAGTAGTTCTACAAAGAAAAGAGGATGCAATTTCACAGCAGAGGAGAAAAATTTGCTGATTAAAATAGCGAATCAATACAAACGTGTGATTGAAAATAAAAAAACAGATGAGGCGTTCGTACTCAAGCACTTGCACAATATCCTCGTCCTCGTCGCTATCCAGAATATAATCATTTAAAAAATTCATATTTATCAACAACCAAAAACTCATAAAACAGGAAACCTCGAAAACAATCAACAATAACCTAACAAAACGGTCGTGACTACTCGTGATCGGTCGTGATGTGACATGACCTTGTTCTTGTAACAACCAATTAGATTGCTTACATTTATTCATCAGCATTGCCAACTTTCATTATCTGGCAGTTGATTAACTGGAGAATAAAAATGAGTTGATAAACCACTTCCAAACAAACTGGAAGTTTATCTGCTAGATATTTTTATCTGACGGATAACTAACTGATGGATAATATTGGAAATTGATAAACCGACCCTCAGTGATGTAAAAAATTATGAGATTGCTACATGATGATTCCTACTCATATCGCGTAGAATTTATAAAAAATGATCAAATTATAGAGAGACTAGCTGTACTTCATGACAACTTGGCATTGCGACTTAACAATCCAGTTTTCTGACAATTTATTTGGCCATTCCCCTTTTTTCTCGTGAATCTCTGGGCTTATTTTTAGTTTTCGATGATTTTTCCATTCAAATATGATTTTTATTTCTAGTTGTTCAACTCTATTGCTCAATATACTCCATCGAATTAATCCAGGTGGTTTGATGCCAGTTTCCTTCAACTTCCGGAAAGTAAGGAGGTTCTGAACTTTGAAATGCGTTCTTCTCGAAACTTACTTTTCGTGATATTCCTCCTATTTCCCCTATGGTCTTCATATATGATATATATCCGGAAAAGAAGTAATCACTTTTTTCCGTGAAAAAAAAGCAATTAATGAAAAGTGACATTTTATAACTTATCAACAAATATGGAATTTCAAACTTTTTTCCCTCACAGAAAAATCAATGTTCAATCGTGATCTCATCAGGCGTACAAATTTTGGTACCATTGATATTCTCCCCAAAGTCGTGAGCAAAGATAGTGATGATCGGTTGTCTATCAAAGCAGTTAGTTAGTTAGTTATACAGGGCATTTCAGAAAATACATTTTCAAGTTTTTTCCCGACTGACAGCAATTCTTTTCAGCGCAACGCAATCGTCTCTCTATCTGACCCTGCCGGAGTAAACGGAGTGTACGGTAACCTCAGTTTTGAAAGTGGTGTAGCATCCGTGCGAATAATCGGGGAAGTAAGCGGCCTATCACCGGGCAATCATGGTTTGCACATCCACCAATATGGCAACATTGGATCAGGATGCCTGGCAACTGGAGGACATTTCAACCCATTCGGTGTATGTATGCATGTGTAGAAAATATTCGTACGACCAACAAAATATTTTGTGTACTAGCGGGCGGTAAAGTGCACTTTATCGCCCAGATTTGCGGGCGTAAAGTAGTACTTTACCGCCCGCGGGCCCATTATCGCCCACGGGTCATAAAGTGCACTTTACCGCCCGCTGTTCTCAAGTCCCTTATATCCACACATCCATTTGTGGAATACCCATATTTGAACTCTCAGCTGATTCTATCGTTATGATTTACATGATATTCTGTCATCCGATTCCATCTTCGCTATAACTTCCTTTTTTGAATAGTTGTTTTCTGCGGCTGTCTGAAGTTTTTAGCGAAAAGATGACGATTTCAGCTTGTTTTTTGGATGTATTGCTAGACAGCAACCATCAGATTGATTGACAACGTCGTGACAATATACTGGGTATACATATTGTTACATCTCAAGGAATGAATCTTTGTTAGTGAACGAAGAGTTTTACTCTTACGATAATTGCGATATTCTTACGGTAATTTCAATATGTAGATTATACACATGAACATTGCGCTTCTCTTACATGAAAACTGAATTTATGAGTGACATGTGAATTGTAGTTTGTTGAAATCTAGTCATTACTTGTGACTCAGGAAATAAACCACTAGTGCATAAAATTTTTGTATGTATCACGTGCGTGAAATGCGTTTATGGCCTTCAGCGTGTAATGGCCCTCGGCTAGCGCCATCGGGCGATTATTCACGCCATAGGCCATAAACGCCTACTTTACGCCCTTGATACATAGATAACTATAATGCACCTCGGGAATCTGAACCCACATTCTATTAAAAAAGTGATTCTTCAAATCCCTAGGGATTTGTAATACATTTTGAAGCTCTAGGAATTTGGAGAACCACTTTTTTTCCTGAAATCTTGATGACTATAGTTACTGAGGTCGTTGAAATGGAAACAATCAGTCCCTTCGATGACGATTTAGTTATTTTAACGTTTTACCTATCTTGAAGTGCATGAAATAGTATATACACCTCAGAACTGAAGTGTTTCTGAATCCCTCGACATATTATAGCCCCTCCTTTAGTTGGCCTATGAACTTCAGTCCCTAGGTATATAATGCACTATTATTACTTACTGTAATGTAGGGTTTGCCTCAGTGACAAAATATTTAGATTAGGTTTTTTGTGTAGGACATGAATGGGGTCGACCAAATTGTAACACATGAAATGCAGCACATGAAATAATACTGTAGTAACCGAGAAAATGGGATGTTTCCATAATTAACTTTAGTGAAAACCTTTCAGTACAGTCTTGTGGGACGAAGAAGAAGAATCTTCTGTTTTCTTATGTTCGGTTTCCTTTTTTTCTGTTTCATTTGATCTGTTTTCTCTTCTTTTGTTTCCTCTCTAGCTGTCTGGTGAATTCAGCGGATATGGAAACCGGTTTGCCAGTTATAAATTCCGTGCTCGTTGATGCGTTCGACTTGAGAGAGAGATATAGATAACAATGAAGTGGAGATTTTTCATGGAAAATTATGTTTCTCAAAGTGAAGGAAAAAGGGCACCTCAAGCATTCTTTTTCTGTCGAATTCTTGATTTTTGTTAGCATTATTATGTGTATCTGGTGAGTACAGTGAAAATTGTACATTTATTGTATCTGAAATGGTTCCCGCCGAAATTCGAAGTCGGTGGTGCCGAACTCGCTCCTGTACGAACCGAAGGACGATGCAGGAACATGAGATACATCCACTTCCTGGGCCTGATTTTTGGCATTTAGAATTAGGAGATTGACTACGATAGAACGTTAGATAGTATTGAAGTCTTTCATTTGGTTGTGTATCACTTTATCGTATTCCGTTCATTTGATTACCACTAGTGGTGGGATTAGAGAGGTTTCATCCACTTTATTCTGGAGTTCAGGAAATCTAGAAAGATGATTGTGTCTTCGTTTGCTGGCCATTTTCATTACCACGTGAAGCCCCAACACCATCAAAAGTATGAAATATTTCTTGTATTGTTGAAAATATAATGTCTCTCAACACCCATAAGATACCAGAAGATTCACGAATGTTACTCTATTTTGAGGGTTATGTCTACTTGGTTAAATTGGTTTTTATGGTTTTTCTACAATGGTCTACGTTCCAATTTTTTTATGGTTCTTGTCTTCCCTTCTGTTAAGAAGTGAAGGCTAGCAAGTTGAGATACAGGCTTCATGTCCTGAATGATCGATTTCATGGTTGTAAAACAGGGAGTCCCAATAACTAGCTGCTGCCTGCTTGCCTGCAGTTTTTACCATAGGATTTGCAGCATCATACTGCTTTGAGCCATCACGAACTGTACTGTTCAGAGGGTGGAAGTATAGTAGAAATATAGCACACTGAAATAAGGTCCAGCTATCTCTTGTAAGCGTCTATTTTGAGGCACTGCTACCTGGTTATTGAGAAATTTAGGAAAAGGAATTATACCATCAATCTTCTGGAAGCATACAATCAATTAACGGATTTTCAATGAACAAGCCATTTGTTTCTATTAAGAAGTAGAAGTTCTATGTGACCTGAGGTGAGTTCTCAGTAGGGGAAAACCTACCTGCTTGAAACACATTGTAAAGGTGACCGAAATCGTAACTCCAATCACATGAACAGCGCCTGTTGATTTGTTGTTAGTTAGTATACATTGAACTCTATACCATTTTTATTCACACCAACTTTACCCCACCGACCACTGAGCTAGTCAGTGTTCTATTCCTTCGGAATGAATGGGGCACTTTAAACACTTTCATTTTTATAACGAACATTATTATATTTGACTTCTACATCAGGGTTGAAGAGATATCTACATCCCATTTGTAGGACTTTTATATCCACAACTTCCTAGCCTTAAAAAATATGGTAACACACACTGATGTAGATTCCGATATACCTTTGATTCTTCTAGAAATGACTTCAAAGGCTCATTCATGGCTCATTCGATATTTTCCAGATGAATCACGGAGCTCCGTACGACGTGGATCGTCACGTCGGTGACCTTGGCAACATCGAGGCCGACGAATACGGCATCGCGCGTGTTGACATCGAAGACTGCGTCATCGGTCTACTGGGCGTTGACGCCATCATGGGCAGGGGAGTGGTGGTACACGCGGGGGAAGATGACCTTGGCAGAGGAGGACAATCCGACTCGCTGACCACGGGACACGCAGGAGCGCGATTGGCTTGCGGAGTTATCGGAGTCCTTACAGAACAGTAGCTCGAACGTTTGTTGACAATTTGTTGATACGAAATAAATTTGGACTTTCACGAAGAAAATATAGGTATTGTTCCTCAATCCACAACTTGACTTTTTTTTGTATGTTCTGGTTCCCACGAAAAGAGATATCCTGTAATGTTCAGAGAACATCATGAGAACCAAGGAGAATAAAGTAGGAATTGGTGTTCTTCTTAAATTTCTGGAGGTTATATGCCTATCGGGGAACACCTCCCTTGGCAATGTGTTCCAGAGCCTCGCTGTTCGTTGGATGAACGAGTCTTTGGGGATTGATGTTCTGCAGGTCTCCAAAGTGACCACGGAGGGGTGCGAGACCTCAACTCGACGGATTAATCTCGCGGGGACTGCCAAGGGAGGAACAATTGTTTTGATATTTCAGAAGAGCATCGTCCATGAAAATATCTATCAAGCAGAGCCAGATCTCTAACTTCTCTACGGTGTTCCAGAGAAGTGAGTGAGTTTGTGATCACCCACAAGACGAATTGCTCTCTTTTGGACAGAATCCAACAGTTTCAGGGTATGTTTGGATGCTGCACTCCAAATATGGAAACAGTATTCCAGGACAGGTCGGATCTGTGCCTTTTAGATCATAAGCAGCTGACTGGAAGTGAAATAGCTTCTGGCCCGAATCACAACACCAAGTTTTTGGGATGCACTTTTAGCAATTGATCTCATGTGATTTTTCCAAGAAATGTTATTGCTGATAGTAATACCAAGCATCGAAATTGATGTCTTCAAAGGTATGGTTACTCCTGACAAGCTTATGATGGGCACAGTGGGATCGGCTTTTCTAGAGGAAAGGCATGCTTGTGTTTTGTTTGCATTGAAATCTACCAAGTTATTCAAATCCCCATTCGAGAATTGCTGCCAAGTCCACATTCATGTTGTCAACATTTCTTCCTCGTTCGTTTCTGATTTGCGTGGCTGGTATTGGAGCCCTGGAAGAAAAGGCGGTATGAAGGGTACTATCATCAGCGAAGCTGTGTACTGGACATTCAGTTGCATATAACAAATCGTTGATATGGAGTAGAAATAATGTTGTTGCTAGAATTGATCCTTGCGGAACACCAGCATTTATGATAAGAGAGTCAGATGAAACTCCGTCGACCACTTCATGGAGAGACCTGTTTGAGAGGAAACTAGCTAGCAGAGAACATAGCTGGAGAGGCAAGCCATAAGATGGAAGCTTGACGAGGAGTCCTTGGTGTCAGACTCGATCGAATGCCTTCGATATATCAAGTGCCACGGCTAAGGTTTTACCATATTTTTGAATAGAGTGCTGCCATATATGTGAGACGTGAGCGAGCAGGTCACCAGATGATCTCTGATGACGAAAACCATATATTGCCTGTCGTTGATGATACCTGAATGTTCCAGGTATTTCATGAGCTCGATGTTGATGGCTTTCCCCATGATCTTTGAAATAATAGATAGCAGTACGATCGGTCTGTAGTTGCTAGATAAGATCTTTTTGCCTTTTTAAGAAACTGGTAGTACTCATGCAATTATCCAGTTGGACGGGAATATCCCCAATTTGTAAGAGTATTTGAACAACTTGCAGATTCAGTCGGAGCCACAAACTTTGTTGGTGTTCAGATTCTATAAAATTTTCCTTATATTACGTTGGCGAAAGGTATCTCGAGCATATGACTGTCAATTGGCGTTATGTTTGGAGGTTGTTTTCCCGAGTAAAATTTTCAGCAAATAAATGCGCAAAAATGTTTGTTTTCTCCTGGGCAGTTGTGGCTAGTGTTCCATCTTCCTTGGTTAGAGGAGGAAACGAGCTGGAAGTGAAGTTTCTTCCTACAGCTTTGGCGAAGGACCAAAATGAACGGGATGTGTTAGGATATCCAATAAGCTTTGATCTTATTTTGGCATTATGATAATCCTTTGTTGATTGAATAGTTCCCATTGCATACGCCTTTAGCCTCGACATATTCTGATCTAGTCTCAGGGCCTGGATTTTTCTGCCATCAATGGAATGCTGCCTGCTTCGAAGCGACAGCTCTAGAGCAGTTTCTTCTGAACCAGGCCTTATCGGAAGATGTTCTCCTTGGAGTGTTCGGTATGTAGGTTTGTATCTCTTACATGATGATTTTAGAAATTGTCTCAGCACATCGTGTTGGATCTGCTGAAGAGAAACAAACTCTCTTCCATGGATAGGCTGATAAAAATATACGAAGACCTTCCCAGTCAGCTGAATTGTAATACCACATGAGACGGGTAGGAATTGTGATGTTGGATGGTACATGGAAAGAGCAGGTTGTGGAGATGAGGGTGTGGTCAGAGGTTCCAAGTGGGGCACAAACTCCCATTCTATATGGATCAGGATTGCTGATGAGAAGAAGATCTTGTGTATTGGCAGACTGATTGTTGATATCATGTATAGATGACTACATCAAACTGTATCAAATTCTTGTGGTCGGTCGTAGTTATGTAGCATTTCTCGAATCGCCACTGAATTACTCACCAAAAATATTGAGCTGAAGGTGTATTCATTCAAGCAAAATTTAAAACTTGAATGCATTTTGAAGTTAAACCAATATTATGAAACCATGAAATATAAAGTAGGTGCTCATGCAAGAGACTGAAAAATTCAAAATAGAATCAAAACTGGACAACATTCAACTAAGAAATTAATTTCTTCCATAATTCACGACAGCGCATGCGCCAAATAATAGCTAGCAGCGCTGGAAATAGTATATTACACATCAAGGTTGGAAGTGATTCATTTCTGTCGTGAGATTAGTTAGTTAACAGAGACGCAAAGCGTCGAGGTTAGCTATAATCTCGAGACAGGAATGAAACTCCCTACCGAGGTTTGTATACTATTCCATTCACAACCATCATATTTCGATCAAAATTAATAAATCTATGTTTCGTTCTGATCATACCTGAATCTTCCTGAATTATTACATGGGTGAGGGCGGGAAGTAGAGGTGTGTAATGTGACACTTTCCGACCTCCAATGACGTTAGTAATGACAACAATACATATATGGTTGTAAATAAAAGATTGAACAGCTGATGAAAGGTTATTGCATGAACACCGATATATTTTTAATTTAAAATTCGTTTAGATCTTAAATTCATTATAATTTAGTGCCAGAACTTTGGATTGTATAAATTGACTCAGACTCATTGGGAAGTGGACGTTTTTTAGAAACAGATAGGTTTTCATTACCTATACATACCTATAAAGTATCAAGATTTACTGTACCTACTTCTAACGAATGATGTATCCTGGCTGAAAAAGTGAAAAAACTGTTTGCATTCTGGCTGAATGAGAAAAAAAAAGATCATTTCCAACCCAGACTCCAACTTTGGGAGATGAACAACATACATTATTCCAAATTTTTTGGGATTTTATCTCCTCGTTTCGATTGAATAAAAATATGAATATTTTTTCAATATACGTGTAGTAAGGAAAAATCAGATGATTTGACCCAAAATGTCACTGCGTTAAAGGAATTTCCCTATCAGAGAGCCTGAAAGAAAAATTCACTAGCTTGTCAGTGACTATTTGTATAGAAAAAAGTTTGAAGAAGATAAATAAAGATATACCTACAGAGAAAATATCAAATTTTCACTTAGCTTTGGACGTTTCGGGAACGAATCTGCTCCCGTTTTCAACATGAAAAATAGATTTTTTTGTATCGCAAATTCGTATTTATCCTGACACTTTCCAGTTCTCAGTGACAATTGGTGATGTTGGCAATGAAATGAGTTACAGGATATTTTCATCAATTAATTTGAATTCACCATTTTCATTTTAAGATTCAGTAGTAGTGGATACTGAAATCTGAAAATGAATATTTTCGGGACCGAATCTGCTCCCGTTTTCAACATGAAAAATGGTTATTTTAATATCAAACTTTTCAGTTCTCAGTGACAATTGGTGACGTTGGTGCGAGGTCCTAAAGGTACTGGTTTCGCTCTTGATTCCGATGTGGGAAAATCCGTGGATGATGCAGATTGTTTGCGATTGAGAGAAACACATCCTCAAAGAGAAATAAGTAATTCTACTAGCACTCCAAGTAACAATTTAATCAGTTATCAAATATACTAGATTACACTTCGAACGACTGAATTCAGACATGATGATTCGATCGAATTATTATTTGATTATTATCATTATGTTAGGAGCATTCAGTATATCTGGAGGGGAGTGTCAGACCACTATTGAGTTGAATAAAGCATTACTTATTCACATAGTCTCTATTACAGTTGAAAAAGCTACTATTTGAGTATCTTCTGGGACAGTTCAGGGTTTAACTGAAACAAATCCAAGACACATTCAAAGAAGATCTAAATGACTTGAGAATATATATTGATAAAGAAAAAGCAGAACTAATGATTCAGATAAACAATGAGCTAAAAAAACCCAAGACACATCTATAAAACAGCTAAATGATCTAGATTAACTTGAAAGGGTTGGTAGCAAATACATATCATTACCTACTAAGAAAACGAATCCAACAGTGGTGAACTATCGAGGTCTAGTTGATCGTTGGGTGAAATGTTAGAATTATTGAGTTTGTTGATTTCTAATGATTCAAAATGATTGAGTTTCATTCCTTCATCTTTCACGTGTAGAATTTCGAAGTTATCATCAAAACTATGGTTTTCTTCTAATATATATGGTTGGCGTATGTTGAATTTGTTTTCTTTTTCTGAAATACATAATATGCATTCATAATGATGATACTGTGTGAGCGAAACATGTCGTGTGATTAAGAATTTTGTGAAAATCTTATCGTTTGTGAAGTTTTTACAAAGCTATTTCTGAGCGGCAAACTGTGACGTTTATTCTGAAACATATAGCTGATGATTGGAAAAATATCTAGCGAATGGCTAACGAATGGAACACGAATAAAAAACGAAGAAAAGATTGAAGAAGAAGACAACTTGGCGCCTCAATTGATTATATCATGAAAAATAACGAACTAATGAAACACTGGTCTGCTGCTTTCCTAGAAAAAA